CCAAGCAGGCATGCCTACATGAAGCTCTCCACCAATGCTAACGCTGTAGCTCTACAGTTCCTTTTGCACCAGAAGTCTGTAGTCAGGCTGAAGAAGCTCCCTCAGCTGAAGAAAGAGCTGCTGAAAAGGATGGTTCAAATGCAAAAGGAACAACCCAATCTCTGAATCAAGATAAGTCTTTTAAGATCTCCAAACAGAAAAGTGGTGTGTGATAAATCTTAAGAGAACGGAAGTATTTAAGCCTACCAGGACAAACACAGTATCAGTATCATTTAGTATCAATAACATTTAGTGTTCTCTCAGGAGGACTCTATTTGTACTCTGCAGAGAGGGTCAGTACTAGTCCTCCTCCTCCTGCCCCAATGTATCTGCAACATTTGTTATTTACAGCTCTCACGTGCCTCCTTGTGACAGTACATCAGCCTCAGAAGTACCTCCACAGCAAAGGCATTTCCCTTCTTTTGTAATTAAAGGAAAGGTGGTCCTGGTAAGGGTCTCTGTGAATGGAAGCTCCACATTGTTACATGCAGCCAGAATGTTCTTCCTAGACCCCATTATGAGGATCAAGGTAATTGCACGCTCCCTTAAACAGCTTGAATGGATGTGAGCACTCACTTTCTCAGATGAAAGAACAGACTGGCCTCTGCTTGAGAAATGCTTTTCTCAAGAGACACAAGGCTCTTGGGAGTACCCAACAACTACAGGCTGTTCTCTATTGCTTAAAGCCATTACTCTAACAGGTTCAGTGGAAACAGATGTGTAAGTAAAGAAAACCATTCTAGAGAACTGGAGAAAAGAATATGCAGCTACTAAGTATGTAAGGGCGCAGAGGAAAAACAGGTCTGATCGATTGTCAGAAAGACAATCTGCACTGGTAGGCTAAAGGCATATGTCCTTACGATTTTAAAAGCTACAACAGATAGAGCAGTTGTTGCAGTCAGTTTCAGCTGAATGAACTCTGTAGGGAAGACATTAGCAGATACACTACTGGGAAGAAAAGCACACTGCTCCTCAATTAGTGAATGTCAGCTAGGGCAGTTGAGGCAGAAAGCAATCCCTTTATAATCAAGGATGACTTCCACATGCATGCAGTGCATGCAATATAATGGCAGTTTAGCCAGTAAACAAAGACTAGTTTCTTGGATGCTGGATAAAAAGTGTCCACACAGCAAATTAAAACATTTTCCAAAAATGGCAAATAACAGCTGAGAAGACCAGTCTCTCGGACAGACAACACCCTGTGCTTACTCCAGTATTGTTGAGGTTGGAAGGGACCTTGAGACTGTGTAGTCTACCCTGCGCACAGCAAGGTCACCTGGACCAGGTTGTCCAGGACTCTGTCCACTTGGGTTTGAGTATCTCCAAGGATGTTCCACAACCTTTCTGGGCATCCTGCTGCAGTGCCTGATCACTCTCCCTATGGTTTGGGTTTTGGGCTTTTTTTTTTTTTTTTTTTTTTTTTTTTTTTTTTTATTTCTGTATTCCAGTTTGTGCCCACTACTTTTTGTTTTACTAGGCACCACCCTGAAGAGTCTGGACTCATCTTTAGTCTGAACAGCAGGTATTTACACACATTGAGATTCCTCCCTGAGCTTTTTCTTCTCCAGGCTAAACAGTCCCAGCTCTCAGACTCCACTAGTATGACAGTCCTGCAACTTGATACCTTAACAGCCCTTCACTGGACTCTCACCAGTCTATCCCACTCTTCCTCACACTGGAGAGATCAGACCCAGACAGAGCCCTCCAGGTATTTCACCAGCACTGATCATCTCCCTGTTCCACAGCTGGTGTCTACAAGGACCCCAAGTCCTCTGCAAAACTGCTGGTCAGCCACAGCAGGTAGTGGTGCATGGGGTTATCTTCATTTACAAACCTCAATGATACACAGCAAGTAACAGGCTGGCAGACTGCTAGGAAATTCCTCTCTCTTCTCCTTAGGCAAGTAAGCTAAATTACTATTAATTTACTAAACAAAAAATGTACAGTCAAAATACATCTATGTTTTTCACTCTGGCGAAATGACCCTTAATTATTTAATGGTGTTGGAATGAAAGTGATTGCCCTAGAGGATTTGAGGCTTTCACACTTTAAGCCTTTTTTTTCCCCTCCTCCACAATTTAAGCCTTAAGCCCTGGCACCATGGGCTTACATGAGTAACGTATGCTTTCTGTAATGTCTACAGAACAAATATACACTTCTGCTCAAGCCTGGTTGTTTGCAGAAGGCTATGTGAGTGTCACCACGTGACCCACAGGCAAGCAGGTATTCATTCTTGTCCTTGGCTGCAGGTACTTCAGTGGATGCAGTCAAAGCTGTTGTCTTCATATACTCCTGGAAGGCCCTTCCCAGCATCTCCTGCAAGTCCGTTATAGGCAAGATTTAAAAGGTAGAAGTTTGGTATCACCCTGAGCTGCCAAGATTAAGACAAACTCCTCTAAGTAGAATGGATCTGCACAGAAACCACAGATGTTTTTGCACAGGCACAAAGGAATTGTAGTATTAATAACTATCCATGCTGAAGGAAATAAGATACCTCATTACCTTTGGAGATACGTGCAATTTTAAAACAAGAGCAATAGTCAGCCAGCCCTCCCTTCTCCTCTTGCCCCCAACCTAACTGAAGGACAGAAATAAATCATCTTTAAAAGAGTGGGAAAACAGTGCACTGCACGCAGCATTCAGTCTTTAAAAAGACCCAATCTGCAGGTTAACAGCAAAACCCTCCAAAGTAGATATGAGGTGGGCTGAAGAGGCGATTTCTTTGTGCAAGTGCTTGCTGTAGGTAAGCAGGGTTGCCTACAGGCTGCCTCTCCTTACTCCAACAGCGCCCAGTGTCAGTCAGGAGTTAGGAAAAAATTTCAGTGAACTACTGTATTACCAGAACCATTTCCAATACATTGAGAAAGCAATTTAAGAAGAGGATTGCACAGAGAATGCGGCTAGAAAAAAATACCCTGCACAAAGGCATGAACTGACCCGTCACATCCAGGGGGTAGCTCAGAGGCATGTTGATTGTGAAGCCCACTTCCACAGTGTGAATTTTTATTTTTATTGAATATATCACCACTCATGAAATACAGTACACTGCAGTCATACTTTTCTCTAGGGGGTGAGTCTGGAATGAGAGAGAATAAAAAAATACACAGAAGACAAATGTGAATAGAAGTCATGTGGAATTCAGTCACTCAGCCATTCTTCTCAATTTACTGCCCCTGAAGTGCACAGATTCAGAATTCTGTACATTTCTTTTCCCAGAAGCCTGACACTAGGCTGAAACACATATCAGTGGAACGTAACACACAACTGCCTTGGCCCATGAATTACTGGCGTTCAACCAGTGGCTACGGGGCTAGCAGGCCTGCTCAGAGCTCACGCTGAAGCATCAAAGCAGCATGATGAAGCAGCTCATCATTCTAAAAGTGGATGTAAAGGAGTCTGCTTTGCAGCTGGGAACTGAGATACAGCACTCTTGCTAACAATCCACTGCAGAGATCAGCAGCTGTACTAGGGCTTCCCTACAACACAAAGGGGCTGGGTACTGATTAAATACCTTGTTCTGTGCATGGGAAGAGACACCTGAATGCTCATCTTCAACCAAATGCTCGTGATATAGCGGAGATCTAGTGTACTTGTCAGGTTTGCTGTGGATAGGCTGTTTCATCTTCTTTATCTGGTAGGTGACAGACACCCTATGAGGAAGCAGATAAAGAAAAAAAATACAAAATTTGAGATAAACAGATTTGAGAGTGTCTTGAAGAGTTCTATTGACCTCTCCCCCACTTTGCTTTTTGAAGTGTGTGTCTCTAAATACTTGTAGTTTTGTGACCACATGCAGTCTTGAGAAGCTGATAACAGATGGTGCTCGTTAAACTGAAATGAAATTACAAGTTTAACAACCTCAAAGGGATTTGCCACATGGACATTATGCTAAACCAAAACGGAGAAGAAAAACACTTTTGAAAGGTCCTAAAAGCTTTCAACAACAGCATGCTAACCTGGATCATCTGCACCTGAATTCTGTCTCTTTGTCGAGCACAGGGCTGCATTCAGCTGGTTCCTGCAATCCACCTCTGTTAGGGTCAGCTTATCTCTGACTCGGGGGTTGATCACCAGTCAAGCCTGGAGGGCAAAGTTAATGCCCTGCCAAAGAGTTTAGTTCAGTGTTTTCTAAGAATATCTGGATGTCATCAAGCTGACAGAAGAGGCAGGCTCTTTGAGAGCTCTGTTGCTTTTCATATCAAATGGCTTTGTAGTCTTTGCATAATCCACTTTTCAGCTTTGTTGTTTTACGTTTCATCTGTAATCACCTAAAATGATCATGCAGTATGTGGAGAGGAAAAAAAAAGGGAGACAAATCAATGAATGATTAGACATGTTTGCACAGGAGAGTCTTGTAAAATGTATCCTCCAGCTTCATGCTGAGATTTCCCCTTCTATTCTTAGCTTTATTTTGAAAGCTAGACGCTGCCTTTGCTTTTTAAGTTATGCAGCCTGTCTCCCATGCTAAGGCTTTGCTCTTCTCAGATTCTCAGCTGTAATCACACTTCTGTATTCTGCAACATTCCTTTCTTATCTTCTGCTTTGAAGACAACGATTACAAAATCCTTTCTAAAACATGCCAGGATTACAGAGAACAAACGGTCAATAACCTTGTAGGGCTCCGAATGCAAACTGGGATGTGGAGTGTCTCTACTTTAGCTCACAGACATGCATTTAGCTTAGTCAATAAAATATTCACACACTAACTCACGGGCAAGAATAGGAATTATTTCTCCTCTCACTATGTGACTGTCCTGGGAAACATGATGAGTCTAATAGCATGTGCCAGACAGCAGGCAAAAACCTTTAAGAGCACAAATGGCAGCAATTCAGTGAACCTCATCTAAGGGGCACCCCCACAGATAAATCACAGCTTGAAGCAACTCTTCATTTAGCCA